TATATGTACCTTACGCATATATTATATTGTGATAACGGATTTTTTTTGGTTTTTTGTTTTGTTTGTTACTTATATTCTTGTTTGAAGGGGCTTGGCGATAAGACTGAATTTGTCTTCTTCTTGCCCCAGCCGTGTATATACAGTTTTTAAAGTCTAATTTTGTAAATATTTTCTTTATGGCAAAATATATATTATATTAATATATTAAAAAAAGTACTACTCAAGCGCTGAGTTGGCGGTGGCGGGATTTGAACTCGTATCGTTCAACAGTCCGGGTTTTCACTTTTCCTTTAACGCTCTAACCATCTGAGCTAACCCGCTTAAAAACAGAATTCTGACCTCAGAAATGCTACAATTTAAAAGCTTTCCATGCCACACTCAGTCTGTAGAAAGAAGCGTGAAGCCAGTTACTGTAGCCAGTATGACAATCTGTGAATCTCAGCGTGATGGTTTTATTCGTGCAAGAATAGAGTCGCAATCAGCTATGAACGTCTTTAACACAAAATTTGATTTCAGCCTTTCAAAATGACGTTCTTGAAAGGATTAAATGACAGAAAATAAACTTGAAATAATTGTTATTCTTAATTTTTGTGGCACCTCAAAGTTCTACAATTTACATAAATATATTTTCATTAGATTCTGATATGATGTTAAAACCATCATACAGGTTTATTATAATAGAAATCGAAAAACAAGATCAGTTTATTTTTAGCCATTGATTTTTTTGTAAAAATATGAATTTAATAATAATTGTAATTTCTAATTTTTTGGGGATTTTGGGGGATTTCAACCCAGACAGCAAGCTTACATTGGCCCAATGTAAGTTTTAACATTGGCAAGTTTATTCCGTTGGGCCAACATTTAGCCAATGTTTTTTTTCGGCGTATTATTTTCAATTTTGCAAGTCGGTTTTTTTGCAAATATCGTAGAATATTGGGCCAACATTTTGCCAATGTTTTTTTTTCGGCGTAATATTGCAATTCTACAAATCGGTTTTTTGCAATTATCGTACTACGTTGGGCCAATATTTGGCCAATGTAGTTTAGGCTTAATATTTTGCTATAAAAATCTTATACCGTAGCCAATATTCGGCCAATGTAGTTGCGGATTAGTATATACTTTAAAAGCATTTTTAAAAATGGTATCGTTTGACAGAATAAAAAAAGGTTTTGTTTTCATTTTTTTTTTTTTTAATTATAAAAAGAAGAAGCTGTATTTATTAATCTTCTAAGAATCTTAAAAGCTTCCTTATAAGAAATAAACTTCAAGAGATTCTCGTGACTTGATGTTTTGTTTTTTTAAATAATAAAATATTTGTTAACATTTAAATAATATGCTTAAAATATTTTTTACTACAATCTAAATTATTAATGTAATAATAAAGGCAATAATTAAATTAATGTAATAATAAAGGCAATAATTAAATTATTTTTGTGTAAGATCTTAAATTTATTATTTTATTTTTATTACTTTATTGGCATTTCAAATGTTTGATTTATTTAATAATCTAATAATAAATGAAATAAATGAAACATTTCGAATGTTTTATGATAATTAAATAAATGAAACATTTCGAATGTTCGATTTATTTAATAAAGAAGACATTTTAAATGTCTTCTTTATTAAATAAATCAAATATTTAAAATGTCATACAGTATAAGTTTTTTTTTTTCATAATTTATTTATAATAGTTTAGATTATATAGCTATTATAAGATATATTATTAAAGGTATCAATAATATATATGTGGCATTGTCGATGCCATTGTCAATGCCAATGTCAACTTCAATGCCATTGAAGTTGTTAAAAGCTGATATTTTACATTTTAAATGTCTCTTTTGTTTGATTTTTTTCTGCGTTTGATTATGAAACCCCATCTACTAACATATTGAAACAGTGTACAAAAAGTGATGTTACTAGAACTTATAGTCAACGTATGTAGAGCTTTCTAATATTCCATGTTTCTGAGGTTTAATTATTTTTTAATTTAACAATTTTGGCTATTTTTCATATTTAGTTTGCGTACAGCAATTAACAACTTTAAGCTTATACATTAACTTTAGTTATAACTTAATTATTAATGATTTGATTTATAGATTTTTAAAGCAATACAAGATTGAATTTAGCAGAAGGCTAAATTTCTGCTCTGGAGACAAAAAAGGAAGACAGCGAAAATGACCAGTCAAAATATAAAAGCAACTACAAAAAGATTAAAGAGACAAAAAATTGTGTATATTTTGGTGTAGATGATTTATCTTCATTTTGTTATAATAAAACAAAAAATGTTATTAAACTTTGGGATTTACCTGTAACTCCAAACTCTTTACAGAAGTTCAATGTTTGCTCTGAGAAGTTGAATGAACAAGTTTATTAAATGGTAAGTTTTTATATAAAAGTCTTTTTGTCTGATGATTGAAAATCTTTATTCATAGCTTTAGCTTTTACAACTTTAAAAACTTTTTCATAAATTACGGTCAAAAAGTCATAGTGTTAATTAACGTTTTATTGTGTAATAATCAACATATCAAAGCTTGGTCGGGAAGCGAGAGCGATCCCTCTCTAATACTGACCACGGAAAAACTGGCCAGGTTTTTTAGTTGATTTAACGTAACAAAAATTTTTTGTTGGATTTCAAAGTTGGTGTCACCAACTTTGAAATCTATTTGAATTCAACTGTTGAAAAAAACAACAGAGTATTCATATCAGTTTAAAGTTTTAACAGTTGCTGGTGGTTCATTATTATTCATTATATAAACGTTTATTTAAATTTATATAATAGACGAAGGTAATACAATATTTTTATAGATGATATTATTTTTAAAAACTGTATTATTAAAATTCAGAATTAAAATATGTAAAAAAAATTATTTACAAACATTGGATAACTTTATATTTCAAATAACTACACTTTTTATGAAAGTGAGGTTATTTGAAAAGAATATTTTTTTTTAGAAAAAGATCAAATTATAAGATAAAATAAAGATTTTTTTTGGATAAAAGAAACAATTTTTAGATAAAATAAAAATAAAGTTTTTTACAGGAGAAATGTTTTTCATTCTCTTGTAAAATTTTAATTTTGTGACTTGTCACATTTTCAAAATACAGCACTCAATTAAGCTATTATGTTTTTTTTGGTGCTACCCATTTAATTTTTCTGAAACTTATGTTTTTCTTAGTGTTCGTTCTTAGTCATCCTTAATAATAATATCCATACTAACATGTATAATAAGCTTTAAAGTCCTTGGGGCACCTCAAGATAATTTACCTGAGCATTGCAATTTTTACAGAGTATTCCTGATATGAATAGACAACTTTTGCACACCCAGGCAAAATGAATTTCAATCAAAAAAAAAAAAATTCTAAATTTTTTCTGTAGGTCACTTTTTGGAGATTTTGGGGGATTTCAAAGTCTTTGGGGCACCTCAAGATAATTTACCTGAGCATTGCAATTTTTACAGAGTATTTCTGATATGAATAGACAACTTTTGCACACCCAGGCAAAATAAATTTCAAAAAAAAAAAATTTTTAATGTTATCACTGCACCCTACTGAGCAACATTAACGCTAGATATCTTTTAAGGTCCTCACCAATAACTAGAATCTTTTACAAATATTTTTAAAGCTATTATGGACGATGTTAAACAGACTAAAACATTTTGAAACATTGTAAATGACTGAACGACAAGTAACTTTTAGCTTTTTTGGTCTCAATTCAAGACTTTTGAAAGAGTTTTTGTTTATCCTTGTTTTGAATCAAATCAAATTGAACAGAAAAAAGTAACATTTAAGGGGTATGTCCCACAATAATTTAAGAAATATTTTGAATTTTTTTAAAAAAATAACTTAATTGTTTTTAAATCAAAAATTAACGTAGATTCCAAATTTCGACAATTCAAAGTCTATTTTTAAGTTGTTTTTTCTAAAAATGCGAGTTTTGCACATCAGATATTATATATTTGTAATATAAATTTTTTTTATATCCAAATCACCTACCTATCTAGACCATCTCTAGATGTTTATTACGACAATAATCAACCAGATTTGCTTCACTGCTTAAAAATTACAATAAAAATGGTAGGCTATAGTAAATTAACAACTGAAAAAACGTCACATTATTGGGTTCACTTTGATGACTTATGATTGTAATAACCTTTTCAAAATTTTATAATAAAGTTATAAGTATAGGAATAAGGACAAATCAAACTATAAAGCGTTTATACTCTCGTAAATAAAAACTCTTTGGAAATATGCTCATAAAATCATTTAAAGCAATTATTGAGAGTTTATCTGATCAACAAAAAGTTCCAGTGCTGTTTTTTTGCTATGGTTCCAGTGTTGTTCTTTGCTATGGAAAATCCTATTATTTCTTGCTCTGTCTCTGGATCAAATGCTTCAAAGAAATAAGTTTAGGATATTAAATACAAAGAAACAGATAAAGGATTCAGAGTTATTGATGTCTCTATTTAAGCTCAAGTTATTAATAAACTATGCTGTCTAGAATGCCATATTAAAAAACTGTCACTTACTAAAAACTTTTTTAATTAGCTTCTTCTTTGAGTGTATTATCTGAATGTGGTTTTTATTTATACTTCATGTTTACAAATGCAGATGATTTATACATGAAAAAAGTAAATTTTGCTGGCCTGTTCCATATAGCATCATCCCAAACAAACCAGTAGCACAATCCTTTTACTAATTCCAAAAACAGCAGGTGCTTGTTTCAGCGAGAAAAAATAAACAAAACAACAATGTGCAAACCAAATGTTGGATTGCCTTTTTATGTAATAAGTCATGTCAAAGCTACTTACAATAATCTCAATGATGACAGTCTTTTATTGATGTATCTCCATGGATTAACATAGAATTCTAAAAAGTCTTTTAATACAATAATTTGGTAGTTGTTTTGTTGGTTTTTATAAGATAAAACTTGGAGATTAGAAGTTTTGCCCAGTTTTAACATTGGTAGTACAACATTTTTGCGCTACTGCAGTTTCTCCCCCCCCCCCTTTTTTATAAAAAACAACGCTTTTGCTCATTGAGCAATATGTACGTACATTTTACCGAACGCAATCTAAATCATAACAAATATGGCGGCGTCTTTACAATCAAAGTGATTTTCATAACAACTTTCAATAGTTAGTCGACTATATTCTTTATATAATTTATACTGACAATATATATATATATATATATACATATAGATGAATAGTGACATTCTATATACTATTATACATTTATATTAAGTTTTAGACACTTATTAAGAAAAGTAAAATATTTTTTATATGAATATATAATAACTAGCTTAAATCTAGGGCTATTATATATTACGTATTATATTATTATTATACTTCACCATACGTATAACTTTGCTATACAAAATAAAATTTGAATTATTTAAACACAATGCATCTAGCAGGTTAAATTTTTTGTTGAGTCGCTTCTACAATATGTCTTGATCTGCACCATCTAATTACACATTGAAATCTCATTCATATAGCTAACTTCCATTTCCGTTTAAAAAAACACAAAAAATACTAGCAGGACGTATAACTTTGCCAAGTTGTTTTTTGTTTAATACAGTTAAATGATAACCTGTTAAAACCCTACAGAGCTGTTCAGACTTGTTGGAAACTATAGCTAGCTATATATAATTTATTCTTGAAGCCAATCACAGAAGACCTATTCATGTATTAGTTAAACATCGCAACATTCATTTATTTTATTATTTTCTTGTTACATTTCAGATATGGCTGAGAGAAAGAAGCCTTCAGGAGCTCAATATCGTAAACGAAAAGTTGAACAGCAGAGGGAACAAGAAAAACAGAAGGGTTCATTGCTAAAGTTTATATGCCGACAAGACTCTACTAAAGAGGATAGTAATGGTGGACAGATTCCCACTGATATGGAAGCTGAAGAAATATCTAATGTTGTTGATAATGATAATGTGATGATGAGTGAAACACTTTCTTACTCAACAGTTCCCGTTTCCCATGCATTTAATGGCCAATTGAATAATTCTCTTGAGGAACATGTACAGCAAGCAAGTGAAGAAAAAACGGATAATGTTATTCCACAGAATCCAGCACTTTGGCCTCTACTAATTAATCATAATACACGTGCAATCATTGTAGAACGTGGACCTCAGCAAATAAAAGATATCAGTTTCCCAAATGATAAGAACAATCGAAAGTTTTCAGTATTTCACTACTTAAGAAAACTTCCTAATGGAGAAGAATTATGTCGCAGCTGGCTCTTGTATTCAGTATTAAAAGACTCAGTGTTTTGTTTCTGTTGCAAACTGTTCAGTATGAAAGCAATTGGCATATCATCACTAACTCATACAGGTTCAAGTGACTGGAAAAACATGGCGGCAATTCTTTCTTCCCACGAGAAAAGTCCTGAACATTTGCAGAACTATCAAAAGTGGAAAGAACTACATCAGCGATTACAGAGGGATAGTACAATAGATGCAGAAATTTTGCGCAAGATGAAGAATGAAGAAAAGTATTGGCAGCAAATACTAAAGCGTTTAATAGCATTAGTGAGAGTTTTGGGTGAACAGAATCTAGCTTTTCGCGGTACAAATGAAACATTGTACAGTGCCAATAACGGGAATTTTTTAAAATTTGTGCAATACTTAGCCATTTTTGATCCATTAATGAACAAACATCTACGAAAGATATCAAATAAAGAGCTTCATACACACTATCTTGGCAAAGATATACAAAATGAACTTATTCAACTGTTAGGAAATGCTATTAAGAAAGAAATCATACAAACAGCAAATGCAATGAAATATTTTTCAATAGTTCTCGATGGTACTCCTGACTGTAGCCATGTTGAGCAAATGACAATAATTATTCGTTTTGTTAAAGTTGATTCATTGAAAAAGGAGTTTAGTATCAAAGAACATTTTTTAGGCTTTGTACCTTTAAAGAAAACAACTGGAGCCTATATGGAAGAAACGATAATACAACAATTAGAAGAAATGGAGTTACCTATTGATAATTTACGTGGCCAAGGCTACGATAATGGCGCAAATATGATAGGCAAAAATAATGGTGTTCAAAAGAAAATATTAAACATTAATCCTCGAGCATTGTTTGTTCCTTGCAGCGCGCATACTCTTAATTTGGTTGTTAATGATGCTGCAAATTGTTGTCTAATGGCTACAAGTTTTTTTGATATTGTCCAACGTGTGTATGTATACTTTTTGTCTTCAACACATCGGTTAGTAGTTTTCACTAGTCATCAACCTACGTTAACTGTTAAACCTCTAAGTGAAACAAGATGGGAAAGCAGAATAGAAGCTATAAAGCCTTTGCGATATGAACTTGGTAAAATATATGATGCACTGCTAGAAATAGCTGATGATACTTCTCTAACTGGATCCTCAGGAAGCACTGCACGCAGTGATGCTAAAGCACTTGCGAATAGTGTTGCAAAGTTTAAGTTCGTGGTTTCAATTGTTGTATGGTACAACATACTTTTTGAAATCAATATAACAAGTAAGCAGCTCCAAGCTAAAGATTTGGATATTCATGCTGCTGTACAACAGTTACAACACACACAAAGCCTATTTGGTTGACTGTAGGAGTGACATAGGTTTTGCAAGAATGCTAGTGGATGCTGCTGAAATTGCTAAGGATTTGGAGATACCACCAACCTTTGAGGCAGAACCACGATTACGGCGGAGAAAAAAGCAATTTGCATATGAAGCTGAAGATGAGCCTGTGCAAGATCCAAAACAAAATTTCAAAGTGAATTTTTTCTTTGCTATACTTGACACAGCAATAAGGTCGGTTGAAGAAAGGTTTGAACAAATGAGAACAATTGAATCTGTATTTGGTTTCTTATATCATATTCATGGTCTGCAGAGTAAAACTTCACAAGAAATATTGGAATGTTGCATGAAACTAGAATCTGCTTTACAACATGGTGATAACAGAGATTTAGTTGCATCAGATTTGTGTGGCAAACTACAGTCTTTTGCACGACGACTTTCTGAAGAAACAAAGTCTCCTCAAGATGTTTTTCGATTTATTCTTTGCCAAAACTTGGAAGACAGTCTACCCAACCTTTGTATTGCTCTTTGTATTTTGCTGACATTACCTGTTTCTGTCGCTAGTGGAGAGCGTAGTTTTTCCAAACTAAAATTGATAAAGACATACATTCGATCATCCATGTGCCAAGACAGATTGGTTGGGTTGGCAACTCTTTCCATTGAGCACGAACTTGCAGACAAGCTGGACCTGAAGGACCTTGTGATCGATTTTGCCCAGAAAAAGGCACGCAAAGTACAGTTTTGATATTTTTAAATAAATAAATACTTACCTGGTGTTTTCACTTTATTTTGCATTTTATTTTGATTTTTTTACGTAAAAGGGGTGCGACCTTTGAAGTTTTGCCTAGGGTGTCATAACCCCTTTGCACCGGCCCTGGATGAGTGTACATTTAATTGCGCCAATCCCTATTTTTCAGTCGATTTATGTACATTTAAAAAGCAATATTTAAATTTATTTCAAAAAAAATAATTAAAGTTATATAAAATACATTCATAAAAACATTTAATTCAATTATAAATTAACTTTGATGACAATAAAAACCGGGTTGCGTAATTAAAAAAAGATTTTATTAACGATCGATTTTAAAATATAAACTTTGATGTATAGCGTATTTAAAAAATGGCGAATATTAGCGTTTATTAGCGTAATTTTACAAACTTCAACATCAAATTAGAGCACTTTCTGTTAATTTTTAGACCTGTGTTTTTATACGATTCTTAATCAGCATAAAATTCTCTGTCATAATCAACAATAAAAAATAGGGGGGAGGGGGGAGAAACTGCAGTAGCGCCAACATTTTTACAAATTCTAGAGGTGTTAAACTTTACCCCTAGCCAGTTAAGAGCAAAAGGATACATCAATGATAACAAATACTGACTTTATTCGGCACATTACAAAAATACTGTCAATGCTAAACGTCGTAAAAAAATTATCTTTGGGAAGAAAAAATCATTCGATGACAAAAGTATTGGAAAAGAAGGGACTGCTTATGATTATAGAACTTTTATATAGCTTTTTTTCTTTTTATAAGTATTTTTGTATGTTATGTTAAAGCTGAATTAGTTTTATACACAATTTTAAATTTTAAAGTTCTTTTTCTCAAAATGAGTATTTTTATTCACGAGCCAGTTTTAGCAAATGATATCTTAAAAACTATAGATAGTAGAGTGATCAAATTTTCAGGGTATGTTTTTATGACTTGTACTTGCAACTTAAGCTAAAAAAATTTGAGTCTTTACTTGTAAATCAAGAATTATTCTTATTTGTATTTTACTAATTTTTTTGAACAAATATTTGGGCTAAGTGAGGCAAAAATAATAATTTTTTTTTTAGTTTAAGTTGTAGACCTTTCTTTGTAGAGTCTTGTGTCAAAGTTTCATTTAGAAATATATAACAGTTCTTAAGCTATCTTCTGCTAAAAATATTGACATTTTCCTCATTTTTCTGCCATTATAGACATTTCCAATTAATTTTTTTTTTTTTTTAAATAATTTGCAATAATTTTTTTAGACTTTCCAAAAAATATATAGTTTTATAGCATGTAATACCAAATTGTCGTTTTAGATTTATCAGGGGGCATACCCCTTAAGTTTCAAATTACGCGCGGATCAATTAATGAATCATCTCTGCAGAAATTACTCAAAAATATTTAATCAAAGGATTGAGTACGGTCAAAGACTTTAGAACTGTAAATTTGACAGGAAACATTTGTAGAAAATTAAGTTGGTTTTTTGTTAGAACTCATTTATGTGTTAGAATCTAATGAAAAAAATGTTTTTCTATTGGTAAGGCATCAAAGAAAAAATTTTGAGTGCAGTAAAAAAGAATGTATGGAATGCTGTTTTTTTTTTTATATGAGCAGTGGCGGTTAAAGTCAACAGAGAGACCTAAACAGTAAAACGGAACTGCACTACTTCAAAATTTTAGCAGGGTGACCCTTCCTTCTAAGTTGCCAGTAACTTAAAAGTTTTCTTTGGTAGTTAAGTTTCTCCAAAAAGCCGTAAAGTTCTCATCATAGAACACAGAGGAGGAGCATTTATCTAGAAAGTTTTCTTCCCTTCCAATGACAGTTATTGGGTTAGAGCCGGCATTATACCTCCTTGTTCTGAGTTATAATTATTATCACTGCGCCACGGCTGCTGTTTATAAAAAGCCACGTTAAATAAAAATTTATGTTCATTTTATCTAAAAACGATAACAAATGTTATCATTTTTAGATAATATATTAACAAATATTTGATTTCATAATATATCAAGCATTTTTCTGATTTAGATGACAGTTTCTTAAATTTTTCCCCATGTTTAGGTGATTTTCTAAAGAAAATTCCTTGCTCAATTAACCTAAAACAAGTAAGAGTTATACTGCCACATCAGGGATTACTAAAACCATACATTTATTTTTATGTAGTCACTTATTTAATGTAGTGGCGAGGACAGGATCAACGGAAAAAAAAGTAAAACAATTAAGCTATTAAACAATAGTATAATAATCCATAAATATATTTAAGCTCTATTATTTATAAAAAATAAAAAATGCGAATTAAAAAATATTGGCTGCACATTCATATTATATTAGAGGAAAAAAAATTTTACAAAACAATATTTAACAAAAACGAAGGAAATGCAAAAGAGTAAGATCCAATTTACTATGTGATCTATAAAAACTCAATTTACTATGCGAAACATAAATTTTAATTTTGGAACAAAGAGACTGATATTGTTACATTAACTATGCACAAAATATAATACACAACCTGCCATATAATAAAGGCCAGCATTCATCTGATCATTTAAAAACTAATTGTCTTTTATTAATTATCAAATATATAAATAATACCATCTTTCATCAGGTCGATCTCAATTTATGCTAGAGCAATGACAGTTTCTTCAACGAAGTTTAAAAAAAATTTCAACCGTTGAAGTCTAAAACTGTTTTTTACTTTTTAATTAATTGAATTGCATGAAAAGTTTAAAAAAATTGTGAAAACAGCAATTGTCAAACAAAAATTACTGCCAATTTTATGCCTTATAAAGTAACACTTTATAAATTTAGTAAAAATTCTTCTTAAACAACGTTTTTATTTCACTCATCCACAGTAAGATAATTTTTCAAACATTTTGAAGATGGCAGGAAGAAAGTATTGGTAATCTTCTGAAAGTTATTTTTGTTATTAATTCTTGAAGTATATTGAGATTAGTTTGTGTGTAAGTACTTTAACGTCTAAATTCCTTGCCCCTTGCACAACTTTAAAATTACATCAGCATAGGCTAAAATACATTCAAAAATAATCTATTTTTTCAAATCTATCAATAAAAAATAACCTTATAGGATGTTTACCTGAAACTTTGGTTAATAAGACTTTTATATCTTGCCATACAAGCAGGTTGCCAGTAGTTTCACAAACACTCATACTTAAAGGTAATTTTTTAAAACATTTGGAATAGATGACAACATATGTCATTTTTTGGGTGTCTATGTTATATAAATCTATTTATGTTAAAGTAGTTTTAATAACATGAAATATATAACAATATATAAAACTATCTACAACAATGATGACATCGATTTCCTGAAATTGATTTTTTACAACCCAATGCCCTTTACGACATTAACCAGTTTTGCAGATTAGGAATTTGTAACAGAACATTCCATCAAGAAATAAAAAAATTAAAAAAAAAAAAGTTAAAAAGAAGATTTAAACAAATATTCCATTTTTTAGAGGATAATAGGGGATTTTTAAGGAGATTTAAAAAAAAAGAGGACTCTAGAGGATCTTAGACCAGCTGTGACCACCCTGATATATATATAAAATTAATTTTAAATGTATTCTACAATTTTTTTTAATTCTGATTCACTCCCAACAAGGCAAGCAACAACTATTAGGTTGGGAGTTACTGGAAAAAAAACAGAGTTTATATATATATATATATATATATATATATATATATATATATATATATATATATATATATATATATATATATATATATTTATATATATATATATATATCTGCGTTTTTTGTATATATATATATATATATATATATATATATATATATATATATATATATATATATACACAAAAATATACATTTTTTTGATGTTTGTCAGTACAATTTTGTTAAATAAAAAGTAAAATAAAATATATATATATATAGATATATATAATCAGTTACAGCAAAATACTAAAAATTGCTGAAAAAACTGATGCTTACATTTGAAAATATATAATAATCATAGTATTAGACAAACTGTAGCTGCCTTAACAGCAAGTGAGTTAGAAACTCACTTCGAAAGCTTTTGATAATATACTACAATATAACTTCAATTTAACAAATATAACTTTTGATAATTTTTTTCAATTTTCAGCTTTTGCTAAAAATTGAAAAAAAAAAAAAAAAAAAATTTGTCTAATTTTTTTCTCAAAACTGTTTAAATTTGTTGACTTGACAACTTCTAATGCACTCGGTAATTTTGCTGTGTTCCCAATGTGTTCCATAAATTTGCTGCTCTGTTTATAATGAATTTAAATATAAATATAAACTTGCTTCATTCTTTATTGTATTTCTTATCAGGACCTCTGCATTATTTGAGAATATTGGCTTTTTAAAAATTCTAATTTTTCAATCGAATTTAAAATCTTGACTATATAACAATTTTTTTTTTGTTTTTAGTGTGAAATGTATTATTTTTTGTCTTATAATGGGGAATTAAATACTTTCTTTTAATGCTCAAAGAGTCTTGATTCCTCAAAAATTCCTGATGTATATAAAAGTTTTCTTTCCAGTTTTAACAAAATATTGAACTTCATATACAAAGTCCATTTTGTTTCTAAACAGTAATGAATTATTCTCTTACTAGACAGTTTTAATATAATAATTTGATTAGGACATACCTTTTTTCATAAACAGCAATTTCCAAAAAAAGTTTCTCCCAATGCTTGCATTTGCTGTCAATTTTCTAAATATAAATAAACTAGTATACTTATAAATAAATTAGTATACATATAAAGACCTCAAAGAATTATAACAATAAAATTTATTTAACAAACTTTTTTTAAACAAATTTAAGTTTGCTGCTAAACTAACTACTCTAAATTTAATGTCATTAAGTTAAATATGTTTAGCAATCGTTTAAAATTTTTTATTAAAACTATTAAAAACTTTCAAGAATTAGTTCTAACATTTCAAATATCTTTTTGTCAAGTTGTATTTTCCCAGAAAACTTAAAAACTACCAAAGTTGTATTTACTCTTAAAACTGATTTAAAACTGTTAATGC